TAATATATTTTTTAATTATAAATTAATATACAAAAAAATATTATAATCACTTAATATTATTAAAAGGAAAAAAAACAAAACTGAAATTTATTAGATAATTATTAATTAAAAAATGTGACCACAAATTAAAAAATTAAAATGGATAAATTTGTCAATAAAATTAAAAAATTCTAATCCACTAGTGGTTTGGTACACAAAAAGTTATATAAACTAGCTTTTTCAATCCGCTAGCGGTTTGGTACACAAAAAGTTACATAAACTAGCTTTTTCAATCCGCTGACAATTTAGACCCTAACCGTTATCCGCTAGTTTCAAACCGTTAAATAAAAATTTTACCAAACACTTTAATTATAACGGTTTCGAAATATATAAATTTACCAAATACCTATATTTAGCGATTTAGGTAAAATCGCTAACCGCTACCTCAAAACCGCTATACCAAACGGCCTAAAAAAAAAAATTAAGGCTGAGAAGGGAAATGGTCTTGGATGTTTAATAAATTAAGAAGATATTCCCAAAAAAAAAAAAACAAATAAACAAAAAAGACAAAGTTAAGTGATCAAAACAGTTTCGTATCTATGATGAGCTGGGTTAAGATCGCTCCTTACGTAGGTATGACCTGTTTTTGAGTCGACCCATACCTGATCCATTCTTCTCATTTTTTAGGTCTATTCCTGGCTCCACTAACGTGGCTGATATACATGAAGTATTGCCGCCTTATTCATGCCCACGCCTAAAACCACCTCCATGTTCCCCGATCACGATTAGTTCCCGCCGTATTCACGCCTGCCTCGAAGAAAGGACGTAATAGAATACGTTTGCGAATTTACTTCTATATTTTTTTCTTTTATATTTTTATTCTTAGAGTGTTTCAAAATTAATTGCTTTTAGATAATTTTAAAAGTATACACTAATATTGATTCAATACATTTAAAAAAATTATTTTTTTATATATTGACTTCAAGAATTTTTTGAAGTGTTAAATTTAATACTTGAATTTTAAATTTAATTTATAAATTAATTTATCTGTAAATCTAATCATTGAAGTTAAGTAGTATATATAATTTTTTATATATTTATATATTCCACTTTATTGTCTTGCCTATGACACTACAACTGTTTGAAAGCCACCAGCAAAGAATAAATATAGAGATGCCATACAGACAACTGGCAAACGGCCGGTTTCTATATACCTCTAGAGAATAAGAAATTTGAAAACGTTTACATACCCAATATAAAATTTAGAATGAATTTGTTCTTATCATTATGCCAGAATCTATAAACGTTGGATCTCCGAGAAGTGATGTATGCACCTATGTAACATTGGATCTCCGAGCTAAATCAAATCCATTTTTTAGACCATATATTTGCAGGCCAAAAACAAACCTCACCATGCAATATATCACTATAAATAGCGTGACCATCTCTTGCTGGCTGCACCCAAACGTTAGTATTAATGCACTAGTACAATGTTGCCAAGACAACTGCCTCTTCCCCTTTACCAGAAAGTTTTTTTAAAATACACTTCTCATAGAGTTTTGGACATTATCGTCCTTGCACTCCTCCTCTCTCTCCTCCTTTATCGTCTCCTCTCTCTCAACAATCAGGGATTTCTTTGGCTCCTTGCTTTCCTTTGCGAGTCCTGGTTCACTTTCAATTGGCTTCTCTTAGTTAACACCAAATGGAATCCCGTTCAATACATAACATATCCAGAAAACCTAGAAAAAAGGTAAAAATTACTAATTTAGCTTCTTTGTTCATTTTGTATACGTAGAGTATGGAGTTTTATAATTTGTATTGTATTAAACTATAAAATCAAAACAATTTAATGATTGAAAGTCCACACCAATACGAGGGGCTTGTCTCCGTAATTAGTTTTGTGCTCACAAAACATTTCCGTTTAACATGTGTAGGATTTTTTTAATATGTAACTTTATGGTACAGGGTAAAAATAATTTTTTATAATAAATGTGTATAAAAAATATAAAAATTGATATTAATTTTTATATTAGATAAATATAATTAAATAATTAATAAATTAAAAATTAATTTTTATTTTTTAATATAAATTTATAATAAAAAAATATATTTAATATATTTTTAAACTATATTGTAAATATATAGATTAAACCAACCTATATACATATATGTCCGTTTCAGTAGAGACCAGTAAAAAATAACATCATTCCAGACTACGAAAAAAAAAAAGGGAAAAATAACAGTAGTTAATGATGCATCCATTATTTATTAAGGATTTTGTCTTTTCCACATTTTGGATTGATAATTTTCTCTAGTATGAACTGTAAGACTTTTCTTATATGCGTTTTTAGAGAAAATGAATAATCAAAATATGTAGTTATGATCAAATAATTTAATATTTTTAATGTAAAGATGTTCTAATTTTTTATTTTCTCATGATTTTATTTCCTTTGTGTGTGTTATCACCTTTTTCCTCAGATTCTCGGAACTTCCTCCAGTAGACATGTTTGTGACGACAGCAGATCCGCTGCTGGAACACCCAATCATCACTGTGAACACTGTTCTGTCTTTGTTGGCGGTAGATTACCCTGCTAACAAGCTTGCTTGCTATGTGTCAGACGATGGATGTTCCCCTATCACCTTTTACTCTCTTCTCCAAGCATCCAGCTTCGCTCAACTTTGGGTTCCATTTTGTAAGAAGTACAAAATTCAAGTTCGAGCTCCCTTTAGATACTTTCTGGTTAAACCTCCCATTTCCAATGATAACGCCGAGTTTCAACAAGAATGGATAAAGATGAAGGTATGCAACTAGACTCTTAGATAAAACAATTTTCCAAATAAAAGTTTTATACATACGACAGCTTTCATATGTTTCTTTATTCTTGAACCAAAGGAAGATATAGGGATTGATGTATAAATCAAAATTTATTTGTTTCAGTTATTATAATATAATATATATTTAAATTTTATTAATATATTAAAATATAATTTAGGTATAATTAATTCTTTAATATTATATGTATGGTTATATGTTTAAATGTTTTTATTTTTATTTGATTGATAAAAAAATGTTTTTATTTTTAATTTTAGATCAAATATAATAATTTTTTAATTAATATGTCATTGAGTGCAGTGAATCAAAGAGCACTTGTATTAGTGTTCATCTCTAATAAGACAGTGAATGGTATATATTTTAATTTAATATATTATATAATATATTTATAAAAATATCATTATTTATTAATTTAAAATTAAAAATAAATAAATTTAAAATAATAATTATACACATAAAATATAAAAATTAATTAATTAAATTACCTATATTTATATTCTATTTTTAATAACAGAACCAAATAAATATCTAAAACTATATTAAATAAAATATATTCCAATTTTTCCTCACTAATAATTATTAAGAATTGTTTAACATGCTATCCAAAGACGGGCAGTTTTGTTAGGAGTCCTATGGGTTTAATTTAACAAACCATCTATTAATTTTTATATTCTTTTTAGTTTTATCAATTATTTTTGAATTCTTATAATCCTATCTATTAACTTTCACATTTATTTCAATTTCATCTAGTCCGTTATATTTAATCAAAATATCTGTTATTTTTATCGGAATCTTCTTATTTTTTAACAAAATATTTAATCCTCTAACTATGTTTCTTTTGATCTTTTAGTCCTTAAATTTATATTCACTGTAAAAATAGTTTTTAATCTTATCTTACTAAATGTGTTTTTCATAAAACTGTTTTACAAAATAGACTGTATGCAGTCTGTCCTGTAAAATTATTTAAATACTCTTAATTTTATTTTTTATTAATTTTTAGGAACATTTAAATAATTTTTTAAGACAAATTGCAAACAATTTGTCTTATAAAACAAACTA